CGTTCATAAAAATAGTTACAAAGTTTATAAATTAGAATATACAACATATAAACAACATATAACAAGCACTTATACAATATTAAAGTATAACAAACAATAACTGAAAGGTATATAATTATTATATTTACATATATAGTTGCATGTAATGAGCTATTTCTAAAAAAGTATTTGAATTTTGGGAAGGGTAAACTTTTCATATATACAGGTATGTCGCTCTAGCTAGAGTTTAACACCTACGAATTTTAATGATTTTTTTTTACCAAGAACGGTATTGTACCTTGGTAGGTGATACGACATTGATGTTGCAAGTCTGGTGAGGTGTGAGCTAGTGTAGCCTACACGAGATATTCTGATGAAATAGTTACGAAATAGATCCGGTAGGTCATTGTGGGTATACTTATACATGAATTTAGCTAGCTCAAGTTTATTAATGTCAAAAAGTTTTAGAAGACCAAGTTTGAAGAAATAGGGTGTTGCGTGATCTCTCACAGGAAACGTTAAAACAAACAAAAACACACACTACACGTTACACGCATATGGTTACACGTCTAAACAGAGGAATTGCTCCGACCTGTGATTGGAGGATAAAAATAGACCCCGCCCACTTTTCCATTTTTGGAGGATATAAATAGAATTCGTGACGTTTCGTTTCACCGGTCATAGCCGCGCGTGCATATTTGCTAATTAATTAGACTAATCGCGCTTCAATAGACTCAAAATTCACAGAGATTAAGGCTAAGACATGTGTCTATAATAGCTAGAATTTATAGAAATGTAACTCAAATCGTTCGCTCCATATGATAGTTAGTACACGTTCCTACCGGTCATATATATAGCATAGTGTAGTGGCCCTAGGGGTGGCCACACGGGATTTTTACACGTGCTGTAGTTAGCACGTGTAATTTATTTGTGTCGGGAACATTTTTCGCTCCTACCGCGAAGGTAGGACGGTGACGCAGTAGCAGGAAAACCCAGAGTGAAATGAACGCAATTCCTTAAATAGTCTTTATACAACTGATGGTTTAATTCATCACATACGAATAACAGAAATAACGTTCACTGCACGTATCTCAAAGTAGAGTCGTACTATATATATTAATATATATTCTCGTGTTCACGGTTTACGCTTACCTCGTTAGTGATTACACCGTTTAACTTCTGCTTAGCTATTCTATGGGTTATTATTGTTTAGCCGTACGTCGTCGCTGTCGCTCCCAGTCGCTGTGGCTCCGCGAGCTCAGGCGCGACGGTCGGGCGGTGGGCAGTGTGTCTCCGTCGGTGTGTAGGTAGCTATAGCTGCTGCGCCCCTCTCCCTTAGTATTAGGATATACTTCTCGGCGTCGTCCTGCTTGCCCTGGGCGAGGCTCTCCTCGCGACGGCTGTGTGTGCGCTCTCCCTGGCTCGAGCGTGACGCTCGTTCGTTCGTTCGTTCGTTTCGTTCGTGTCGTTCGTGGGTTCGTTCCGTTGTTTCGTTTCGTTCGTTCGTTCGTTCGTTCGTTCGTTGCGTTCGTTCGTTCGTTCGTTCGTGCGTTTCGTTACCGTTCGTTCATTCGTTCGCGGCGTTCGTTCGTGGCCGTCGAGTACTTGCGCACGGTGACGTGAGGTCCAGCGGCGCCTCCTGTCCGTGCTGGTGGACCTAGCGTGTCCCCCTCGCTAACACGTCGTACGGGTGGATTGCAACTCCCCTTCGTCAGCTATCGCCAGAGCGTTTCGTACCTTGGGTGCCACGGTGCTCGCTGGCGCATCGCCTCTCGCCGGCGGTGTACGTGAGAGGGCAAGCTCCCTGATCTCCCACATCGGCTGGCGCACCTCTCGGCCGGCGCCGTGTACGTGAGAGGTTGAACTCCCTGACCTCCCACATCGGCTGGCTATGGGACCCTCTCCCCAGGCGACAACTCTCTACTCTGTTGCGCGGGGCTGGTCTCTGAGTTGTATGACGTCATACCGCTGAAATCGTCACAACTCTTCTACCTCCCCCCTGAAATCTGCACAACTAGACGTATGCCGCCAGGGAGTGGGCGGGGGGTCGTATTTTTTATGGTCGCAATCAGCAGGGTGGGGGCGAATCCTTCTGTTTAGAGCCAGGTTTACCATAGCCTATAGGAAGAAGAAGACTTCTCATCTTCTCTGTATATCTAATGGAATTAATACACAGGATCAGGCCATGATGGAATTCAGATTTCTAATATCAGGTATCGAGCGTAATAGGGTGCGGGCGGACATCGCGGAACTTCTTGATATTTGTCACGGATATGTAGATTGCGAGCGATGAAAAACAAACCCGTAGTAACGCCACCCGCTCAATGCACGCATGGATGCCACAGTGAAGGGATTGTTGATCTTTATGATCATTCAGGAATTATGATTCCAGCCGAGGACAGAGGGGAGGGATTCTACCCGGCAATGGCGGGCCAGAAGCGTCGCTCGCGAGTGACCGTACGTCCGTTACGGACTCAAACTCCTGTTTTAAGGTGCGCATTGTGCCCCTAACTTACCCTAACCCTACCCTAACCGCGTAGAACTCTCTAAAAATAACCTTACCCTATTAGAAAAAAGAGGAGAGGAACTGTCACCCGGCCGCCATTATGCTCCGGGTTGGAATCCCGACTGCACAGCCTGGCAACTTTTCTGATTGGTGACCAATATCGTGCACTATATGTGACAATTATGTGCATGGAAGTATTTTGGTTTGGACGGCCGCGATCACAGTGTTTCAAGTGAGAAAAAGACGTCAATTCTGTTGGCATGCCGTAGCGATAGTGGGAGACAGGGATGGCTAACAGAAATTAGTCAGCGAGAAAGACAGGAACGGCTTCACGTTGATCTTGATATTGATGCTTTTGTGTCGGTGCGTCGAACGCCTCGGTATACGAGTATTAGTGACGCAGGTGGCCGGCATGGTTGAATTAAGCCGCTCCCGGCTGCTCGGACGCGACACAGGATGGCGTTACTCCCTGATTATGGTCTGTGTGCAGGCATTCATGGTCCACGAGAGCGTCCGTGCGAATAGAATGAGTTCCGTGATTCTCTGTTGAGTTCATGGACTGCGGTTTGGTGTCGTGTTTGGTCCATTGTGCGCGAGGACATCTGATGTATTGGACTTGGGTGATCGCAGTACTTTCCAGATGAGATTTGTTAGTTGAGTCGCTTTCGTTTTTACGGTCGTAGTTGAAGATTCGGGCCATTTAGTGTTGTTTGGTTAACATTGCAGTTACGACTGTTGGGGTCTTGCATAATTGTTGCGACGAAGTCTAGCTGGCGCGTTGGATCATTTCAATTTTTTCTTAGATGTCTCTTTTTAGGTCATCTGCTACACTAGTTGCAGATGCGAGCTTGTGATCGCGATGAGCGTGGCGACCGTACGTCCGTGCGACTCCGTTCCGGCGTGCGTCCGGTCACAGTTGGGGCAAATCTAAACGGAACTCGGACGGTACGCGGTTCCGGATATATTCGGGACGTGGGGGGGGGGTAATCCGAAAACGAGTTGAGATGTCAAAGCTGGGGGTCAAAGGCTAAAGGTCAAGAGGTGTAAAAGAAGGGGGAACATTCCCTCCTTAACTTAAGGTATAGGGAGAAAATGCAGAATTGCGGCACAAATCTAAACGGCTCGACCTAGGCTCGTGATAGTCGGTGTATAGCATATCATGGTAGGAAAAGCCATCACTGCGCCGAAATTGGAGGTCACAGGTTAAAGGTCAATGGGGCACAGGGCAGATTTTAGACATTTTCTGAGGACATAGTCTGACGGAGCTTATTTTTATGGCTTCATTGAAAGGACCATGAAATGTACTTTCCGCTGACATGCGAAGAGTAAGTGTCGGATAACCTTTTGACCCTCATGAGGAGGGTTAAACATAGATTTGTTGACTGTTAACAAATGACTGAACTGCTTTTGCTATTGTGGATGTGAGGCTACAGTTGCACAGTTCAATTGCAAAGGCAAATGTTTGTTGAACAAGGTTTACGCTCCTTAAATCATATTATTTTCTAAAGCAGTCTGTATTAGCACCCTGTATTAGCACACTGTAATGAACCCTGAATGCTCGCGTGGGTAGGCAAAAACATTGGGGCAGCCCATTACGCATGCATGGCGGTGAACTGACACTATTCTAATCATAATTACTGCCTGGCAACCTGCAATGCATATGTGTTAACTCACAGCTGAGCAAAATTCTCGCCTGCCTGAATATACTTGGATTTTAGCAACTCAATAGATTGAGGTTATCACGCACAAAGGGTGATGCCATCTTTGATTATTGATGACACTTGCACGCGCCATCTCGCTGAAACTGCTTTTGCTATTAGAGCCCACTCCAGCCGCCCCTCCTCCCACTCTCTCCCCACCACCACCACTACGCTCGCGCTCGACGCATATCCATGATAACATGTTAATATAGCGAAGTTATTAAAGTTACACAGCTGTATCTTTATTACTGTACTACCGGTATAGCAAAGCCTAGCTATCATAGATATTATATTTGTATTAGTAGTATCCTGGATATATGCTCTGAGCGCGAACGCGGTGGCGGGAGGGCGTACTTGATTCGGTTGCCAGTGAGTTTATCAGAAGAATACCCGGCTACAGTACACGTCAGTTGAGCGCTGTCGCTCTGCGGCACTTGTTAATGTGGGTCCCAGACTGTGCAGCCATACTCTAGCTTAGACCGAATAAGAGTTTTCTTCCGTGTTGCACACAGGATGTAACACTTCTGGGCGTTAAATCGCATCCCCCAGGTCTCGGCCAAGGATTGAAGGGTGGACAAGTCTTGCTGCAGCATGTGCTGATCCTTGATAGAGTTGATCACCCTATATAGGAGACAATCGTCGGCGAACAATCGCACTTTGCTGGTTACAGTGGCTGGTAGATCATTGATGTGTAGAAGGAACAGTAAAGGGCCAAGGACAGTTCCCTGTGGAACACCCGAGTCCATTGAAACACAATCGGAGTGTTCCCCTTCCACGACCACTTGTTGTGATCGATGACAGAGAAATTCCTGGATTCATTTGAGTATGTGGTTTCGGATGCCGTAGTGGCTTAGCTTCTTCAGCAACCTCTGATGGGGCACCGTGTCGAATGCCTTGGTGAAGTCCAAAACGGCTATATCGATCTGTGCCTTGTTATCATGTTGTTGTATGAGGTCATGTGCGGTAGTCAGTAGCTGGGTTTCACAGGAATGTTCCCGTCGAAAGCCGTGTTGAACGTTAGTGAGGATGTTGTGGGTTTCCAAGTGTGACAGTATATGACGATAAATTACATGTTCCAGAAGTTTCCCGCAGACACATGTGAGAGACACTGGACGGTAGTTTTCACACGCGTGTCTGTCTCCTTTCTTGTATACTGGAGTAACGAGAGCCTTTTTCCTGTCGGAGGGTAGTTGACCATCATCAAGGGATTGTTGGAAAATCGCACTCAATAATGGTGCTATCTCGTAAGCTGTTTCTTTCTGGATGCGGTTGGGGATGGCATCCGGACCACAGTCCTTGTTTGGGTTGATTCTGCTGAGAAGCGTTTTCAGGCCAGATTCATCTATGAGGATATCGCCAATAGATGGTTTCGGTTCACCTTGAATGTCAGGAATGTTACTGGTGTTTTCTTGGGTGAACACAGACTTGAACTGATCGTTCAGGAGTTGAGCTTTGGTTTTCGAATCTGCATAAAGTTTTCCATTCTGCCGAAGAGGAGATATTCTAATATTGTCTGCTTTTTGAGATTTAATGTATCTCCAAAATGTTCTTGGGTTATTCTCTTTAAGACTGAGATTGAGGATTTGGTTCAGATATACCCAATGTGATTGGTTTATTAATTTCCGAACGAGTTTCTTCTGTGTTTTATACCGGAGTGTGTTGTCCGCACTGCGGTTTTGATGTATTTTGTGAAAAAGACGGTGCTTTTTCTTGATCGCTTTCTTGATTGCTCCATTTACCCATAGTAGCTTATTGTTCCCTTTTATCACTTTGTGTGGGATGAAGTTCTGGATTATGCTAAGCATACCGTCCTTAAATTTGGTCCAGTTTCCATTGACCGAACGTTGGTGGAACAGGTCGGGCTCGAGAACCGCCTGCTGCAGTTTTTCCGCTTCTGCTCTGACTTTGTCCCAGTCTGCCTTGATGTACTGTGGTACTGATCGTACGGGGCGCCATGCAGGACAGGGCTCAATTTTGTCAACAAAATCCATTTTTGTACCTATAAACTTGACAAAAATGAGTTTTGTGGGACAAGTTTTGTGTTGAGTTTTGATTCACAACCCAAGATAGCATCTGGTTTGACGTAATCAACTGCGACAGCAAACTGGGCTTTTTTGCTTTTAATGCCCTCGCAATTAACTACCATAGTTCTCCAGTTGTTGCCATGTTTACTAAGGGAATCTCTAGAGGGGTGATCATCATTAGATGTACTATTATATCGGTTTCTCGATCTAGGCGTACCAATGGGACTGGAGGATTGCTCAGATCGTGGCGAACTATAGTCAAGATTGGGTTGAAACTAAGATCTGCTGAAGCCACAGAAATGTTTGCATCGGTAGCAGATCCAAGAACACTGAAGCGGTTATATAGGTCAAGTTCATAGAAATGAAATGTAAATGATGCGACATCTTGGTCGTCGCACTTGGCACAAATCCACGAAACGTCCGATTTCTCCAAGCTACGTATGTGGGATGAGCAGTAACTTTTAAGCACGTGCTGTGGTATCAAATATCACAATCATTACAGCAAATCGCACGCTGCGACCAAGTGACTGCGCGCTCGCAGTACCCACAAGGGAATATTGAGACGTTCTTGGGTCCTGGCCGGGTTTAATTCAACGTCGCCTGCTACCAAGAGAAGTGCTACAATTAAAACGGCCAGCTGCTCAGCGTGTTTAGGATTAAACTTTCCTCTGAAAGAGGGTAGGCCCCGAGAGTGTTTCCTTGAAACACAGACTGCTGCGATAGGTGTTTGACCGATGATGGAGTTTGTGATAACTCCAGGCTTCAAGGTTGCTGACTCGTAGCTGGAGGACGAGAAGCAGACTTCTAGCTTCCGGCTGGGACAAATAGTTAGCAGTAGGATTGTGAGTTTTAATATATACATGAGGATTTACCAATAGTTCAGACAATACTTCAGCTAAGATTAATTTATATGCGGGAACGGTTCTAAATGCAAGCAAACAAGGTGGCTGTCCTTGGAGCTGGGATTTCGTATCTCGTAGTTGAAGAACGGTAAGAGCTCATAAAATGTGCGTCCGGTAGGCCTTGACTGTGGTTAAGATTGTTTAGTTGCTAGATGCTTGCTTTGCTTGCTTGCTTTGCTTGGCTTTGCTTTGCTTGGCTTGCTTTGCTTTGCTTGCTTTGCTTGCTTTGCGTGCTTTGCTTGCTAGTTGCATTGCTTGTAGCTAGGTGTTTACAACTTTGTACTTATGTGCAGATAGACGCCACAACGAAGTAATTACTAAATTAATTTACTGAGTAATACTAACCTTAGTAGTAGTACTAGACTTCGTCCCGGCAGCCGCCCCGGTAACACGCAAGATACGAGATAGTATAGGCTGTGTTAGTAGTTATAGCGAATATATCCACTGGAGTCCCGCCGGGTCATTGACGAGGACCGTTTGTTCTCACCACTTTGTCACAGCCACGGCACAGCCACAGCTTCAGCCGAAGATTCATTTCGGTTTCTGTTTCCTACTCTTAGAATCAGATAATTTTAAAACAGTTTGGGAATCAAAATTACACGTGCAGAGATCCCATTTCCAATCTTCAGTCTAGACTTAATTCTCTCAGCTATAGTTAGTACGTTAGTTACTAGAGCTAAGTTAGGGTTAGGGTTTGGATTAGGGAGTAGGCGTAGGCGACTCCCTAGACTCGTTAGTGGAGTAGCCTAGGCGGGGTACGGTCCGGCATATTAGATAGTACCAGGGTACTTTTACTTCTACTTCTACTTCTGTACTGGACAGTCCGTAAGTAATAAACGTCCAAGGAGTGCGCGAAAACTCCAGGTGCACGTGAGAGATTTCCATGGAATATTTTTAAAATGTAGGCAGTAATGTGTTCCAGAGATCGAGGCTTCTCTGGGCCAGGCACTCATTACCGAGTGCGACTAGCATACGGCAATAGGCTGTTGCGAGCTGTTGTAGTTGCCCAGCCGGAGATGCGTTTCACTTCCTCGAGGTGGCATAACAACGATGCGCGCTGCTTGACTCAATGTTTTGACAGAGGGACCCAGTGACTGCAGCCTGTCCGTTGATTATTTTCCAGAATAGGGTCTGTCGGTTGACAAACCTGCGTTTCTGCAAGGAGGGCCATTGTAGGTCTGCGATCATTTGTGTAACACTCTCAGTTTGCTGGTAATTTTCCGTAACGAAGCGCGCTGCTCGTCTTTGCACTTTCTCCAGGGAGGAGCTCCGGTATACCGGTCGGTACCCAGGGTACGTTCCGGCAGTACCCAGGGAGACATAGACCCTACGGGCTAAAGTTTGGGCTAGGTGTGACAGTAGGCCTACTGGCTTGCTTCATGACTTTGATATTTATCAAGGGAAAACCGCTGATGCTCTAAGAGGCGACCTAGGATTAGGTGGCAGTGTTGTGGCAAAACTATGTGAAACTCTGCCAGACAATAAAGGTTTCAAGATTTTAGCCGATAACCTGTTTACATCGATAGAATTAATAAAAAACTTCTGCAACGAGGATTGCACTATATTGGAACTGCAAAAAGCAATCGGGTAGCTAATTAGCATGTGCATTAGCTATGGCATGGTCACGGTTGGCAAGTGGTTGGCTGCATGACGTTGGGCCAACGTTGGCGAAATGTCCTGTAACAATTTATAACATGCCACGGCACCCGTAAACTAGTATTAAAATGAGCACTCTTTGTAACTAGTATCATGCCAATCATACGGCAACGTTGGCCCAACGTCATGCAGCCAACCATTTGCCAACCGTGACCATGCTAACCATACGCCAACGTTGGCCCAATGTCATGCAGCCAACCATTTGCCAACCGTGACAATGCCAACCATACGCCAACGTTGGCCCAACGTCATGCAGCCAACCATTTGCCAACCGTGACCATGCAAACCAGCACCATGGTGCGCTACAACATTTGTGTTGCAGGGCATTACCTATAGCTAGATTAGTAACATATAATATTGGCGTATTAACACATATGTTGGCGTATGATTGGCATGATGCTATAATCAGAGAGGCCAACCACTACGATTTATCCGTATTTTATGCTAATTTCGTTTTCATTTTGACCACTACGATCAGTTTGCATACAACTACGATTTTTATTAAGATAAAAAAAATTTTGTTTCAGTGTTACATTGATATAACATGATTGAAAATAACTACATGTATTTAGCAACAAATATCAGTGTGAACTTATTGTCATTTTGGGTCCCAGAATGCAGGAAATTGTATCTCGGAATCAAAAATTTTCCGGGGGGCATGCCCCGAACCCCCTAGCATACTCGGGTCACTGCGTGACACTCGGACTACAGATTTCAGACATCCTCACTACAGTTTGCTCAGAAAGGTGTTGGCATCTCTGCATAGTTACAAAGGGTTCTCATTTTAATACTAGTTTACGGGTGCCGTGGCATGTTATAGGCCCCTAAATTGTTACAGCACACGCACCATGGTGCACTACAACATTTGTGTTGCAGGGCATTATAGTAGTAGTATATACTATATATATACATTATATATACATTATACATTATACATTATATATACATTATAGTACGCTAGTAGTAGTACGCTAGATTAGTAACATATATCTATATATATATATATATATTTATTTATTTATTTATATATAGATATGTGTGTGTGTTGCTAATCTTTTATTACATACTACATATTACATACTTTTTTACTACATATATATCAGGAGTAGATAATAGGGAAGGAGTGTGACATCAATAAACAAGGGAAATTCGTCGTTAATACTAGCCTTATAATACCTACGATTTACTACGCGTAACTCATCCAACTTGAGCTCACATCGGACACAGTACATTCGCCTAGCATCGTGCGAAATCGTTTCCTCGTATACACCCGCAATCCGGAGATACAGACTAAAACGTACGACACGATTCTCCATTCTTTGGCCATCAATCCAAATCAATTGCGCGCCTCTAATTCAAACAAAAGGCAGCTATCTAACCACAGCTTGCTAACTCGGCGGGCAATGTGGCTCGCCTGGGAGATTTGAGCCCGATCAGCTGCTGCTGATTGCGGTTGGCGTG